ATTACCAAATTACTTTGGTATGTTGTAGAGCCGAAGGTGTAGTTTCTAAATCTTTATGTCATAACCTTGCCGAATTCATATCCGTGGCCTCGAATTTATTTTTGTGCACTCTTGTGATAGCAAATCGTTACTTTAATAAGACTTTATTATAGATGATCTTTACAAATCAGCCAATCATAATAAAGCCCGCTATGCTGTTAAATATTATATGTAAAGTTTGTAATAAAATTGATATAATTAATTTAAAGTCAAATAAATATGTATAAAAAGAATAAGAAAATAAAAAAAAAAGGTACTTCTTTTTGTTTAACTTTAAATAAAATACTAGTAAATTGATAAAATATTTACTATAATGACTTTATTTAAATTTATAGTTAATAAAAGCTATAATGCTTAGAACAATACAATTTCTGAGTATTAACTAACCATAATAATCTTTGTATTAAATAAATTGAATTAATCAAATTTTGAAATTAATAAAATACAAGTTGTAAAAAATAAAAATATATAAGAATACTTAACCAATTTTTTATGCTTTTCTAATACTCTTAATTAATACTATAATATAAAATATTTGAATATCAAATAATAAATAAATGCTATTGTTTATTTGTATTAATTTGAGTATAAATAAATATATTTTTTGTGATTTGTAAAAAATAAAATTGAAATTACCTTCTTGCACTTTATTAAAATGAAAGAAAAATACAAAAATTATTTTGCTAATCTAAAACTTGAAGCAATTGATTATACAAAAAAAATAAATAACTATGAATATTTAATATTGACTATATACAAATTAGCAGATAGAGAGAAAAAGAAGAATAGCTAAAAACTACAAAAAAAACAAGTTATAAAGTAGAATTTGGTTTTCTATCATTATATCTATTAGCTAAAGAATTATTAAAAAAATAAATAACTAAGTAATATTTAAAAGGAATAGTAGTTATACCTAATAATGTCAAATATTGTATAACTAATTTACTTTCTTAGGAGTTCAAAATTTTATATTCTGATACTATTTAAAGTTTTAAAGCTTTAGATTAATAGCTTAATTATTTTATAAATTATTTTGATTTTTTTTTACAGATATACGAAAGCTTCTCAAAAGCTTTCTAAAGATCTAGGGAAAAAAGTTACTACATTTTACAACTTTATCAATAGATTTTAACTACATTGCTAATATAGATAAAAATTAAGTTTGTTTTGATATAATAGATATTCTTATACTTGATAACTGTAGTGTTTGGTCAGTACCTATATATATAACAGACAATAATAAGAACTGATTTATTTGTATTTTAAAAGTAATAGCAGATGGATTAAAACTTCCACCAATGATTATCTTCAAAAGAAAAAGGATATTTAGAAAAAATTATCTATCTGATATAGTTGTTAGAATGCAGAAAAACAAATGGATAGACAAAAAATTAATAATAAACTAGTTAGAAACAGTTTGGCAACAAAGGTCTAGAAAAGAAAAAAGATTTTTATTAGTTTTTAATTTATTTGAAGGATATATTACAATATTTGTAAAAAACAAATGCTATAAAATAAACATAGTTTTGGGTATTATTCCTGGTGAATTAATACCTATAGTATAACCTTTAAATATCAGTATTAATAAACCCTTTAAAAATTGACTTTATGAGAAATAAAAAAAGTAGATACAGTAGATACTAGTAAATATTAATATACTAAGAGGGTAGGATAAAAAAACTAGTATATGATTTAATGTGTTGTTGAATTATAAAAGTATAAAATAATATTTTAACAAAAATTATCATTAAGTCTTTTAAAATATACAGTTTTTCTAATATATTGGAGAATCAATTAGTTGAATCAGATGACATTAAAGATGAAGAATATGATATAGTTCTAGAAAATGAAGATAAAGAAAATAAAGAAATTATTGCAACAAATATAAAAAATACAAATAAAAGTTACTTAATTGAAACAGACAAACATAAAGTAATAACTATTGTATTATACTAGTATGCAAATATAAAAGAAATTATTTTATATATAGCATGTTTCATAATAATTAATTTGTTATTATATAAGCAAAATTGTCAAATTATATTAAATATAATATTAAATATTGTATACATATTGATATGTATAAAAATTTTAATATTGTAATATAGAAAGCTGGCCTTGCTAACTATACTACTTGACTTAACGTGAAGAGGGTAAGGATGTATATATACAAAAGGTAAAACTCAAATAAAACTCAAAAAAGACTCAAATATAACTCAAAGGAGATAGACTCAAAGGATATAAACTCCAAAATAACTCAAAATATAGGATATACAATATATAAAATAGGAAGAAAAACCTGGGAAAATACAATAAAAATAGGATAAAAACTCAAGAAAAACTCAAAGAAAACACTATAAAATCACTATAAAAACTCAA